TAGAGGTATTTTTCTGGATGCTGTCTGCCCTTGCACTTTGAGCACATCGCTTTTACCTTTCTTGGCATGTCTGTCAAACGTGGTTAAAAATATAAACCCTCTCATGAAATATTTGTCTTCAGTAATGGTTATTGAGGGCTTTTCTCCTCCCCTGAGGAGGTTCCCATGGGGTGCATGGGTCTACCAGCAGGGGTGCTGGAGGAGAGGAGCCTCCAGTCATCCTCACTGGGGGCTGTTAAGATAAATGAGAACTGATGGGGTCCAAAACTCGTGTTTGTACCTGGGAGCCCTATAAAGGCTTTAGAGAATAGGAAAATGTGTGTTATTTTCCCCAGCTTTGCAGTTTGGCCATGTACTCCCAGTGGCAGGGACAGCAGCACAAGATGATGTTTGCCTTTCCTGTACAGAGTTAGCAAATAACCTGTTTTGGCTTATATTTAATCTGAAGACCATAGCCTGAGTTTTGATTTGTTCTAGTATGTAGAGAACCATTCTTACATTACCATTCATCTGAACCGATTTTAGTACCATTCAACATAATTTTGATCAAGGTCTCCATGTGAGATAATGACATTTTAGATGCAGTGCTAACAGCTCATTATCAAGTACCATAAGGAAAAGGCCAAGAAGAGTCGGGCAGAAGGATTTTGGGAACAGTGGAGAGTTGGAGCATGGCAGGTTCGGAGGGAAAGCTGGGAAGTGGTGCTGGGAATTTGACCTCCTCCAGAGAGGAGGGATCACTATCTCACAGATCATCATCTTGCCATGTAGCATACAGGGAGAAATGTAATACACCCCAAGGCAGGATGCAGTGTCAGAGACTTTAAATAGTCTGATTCTCTGACATGGATAGTCAAATATTGGTTTCAGTCTCTCTCATTTACCATGAAAGTGAATCCCATGTGGCTCTTGGCACACAGTACTATGTTGTCCAAAAATTAATGCTGTTTGCCTCCCTTTCCTTAGCAAACAACTAGGGGTCCATGCATTTTTACATTCTTGGGCTAAACAAGGCACGTTGGCAGAAGCCAGTTTCTGTGCTCTGTACAAAATCAGGCTTAATATTTGAGAAAGTTTATGAGAAGGATTTGAAATCCCTCAAGATTTTCAGGGTCAACATAAAATTTTATTGTGGTACAATATAAACTCAAATGTTGTTTCAAAAAGGTCTTTTTGAATTGAGAAAATCAGAACTTTGTTCACATAGTTTTGATCTGCATCGGTGCAAATTTCCTGTCTAAAGGATTTGTCTAAATGTTTTAAAATAAAAATTAAATTAGCACTTTATGTTCTAAGGAAGTAGTCTCAACCAAAACTGTCTGTCTCTAAACATAGGCACACATGGAGTCTCCGGTGCTGTTTGTGAGCACCTCTGCCCATAAAGAGAAATTTTACTAGGTTCATATACAGTTGCAGAGTTGAGGAAGAGGAAGTTACTTGGGTTTACCTCCTTAGCACAGCAAGAAAATTATTCCATGCTCAGAGGTATGATTGTGAGCAAACATTTGGCCAGGCTTTCTTTGTATCATGGTGGTATTTAACACCCTGGAGAACTTCACTCACACCAGCATTAAAACAGCTATAGTGACGAACCAAGCCCCGGCCAGAAGTTCAGCATTAAACATGGGCTGTGGCCTAGTGCTGTTTAGTATTAAATGGCATTAAAAATGTCAGAGAATTTGGATAAGATCATCTGGACAGTAATCTCGGGGAGTTTTTAAGCTCCACTTATGTTTATGGGCCCAGATGAAATATGAAAATGCAGGTGGGCTTGGCAAAGTGACATCAGCACTGGGCATGTTCACCAAGAGCTTTTGAAATGGGCTGGCTGGGTTTCAGATGCAGCCTTTTCGCTTTGCATTGGTATAAGTCAGTGCTACAGAAGGATTTTGAGTAGCACTAAGAAACGACATCTTATTTTTCCCTCTTACTCACTGTCTGTGGAAGTTTCAGACTCTGGTGTGAGAACTGCCAGCAATGGGGAGGAGGTAATTCCAGGACCATGACACAGACCCTCTTTAGGACATAGCTATGGCCATCCCGGTTTATAGGAAGCCAATGGCTTGTAAAGAGGCTCAGTTGTAAGTTTTGCACAGAGAGTTGTGCTTGGAAAGCAAATGAATGCCATGACCCTAGCCTGGTTCCAGTCATGAGGATGTCCTTTCGTCTCTATTCAACTTTCTTACCCTCTCCCTGCCTCTGTTTTTCTGGATATGAATGTTTCTGAGCACATCTGTTAATACTCACTGCAGGAAACTCCCCTGGGACCACCATTTCTTGGTAGACTTTCCTCTTTCATAATCACTTACTTATTATACAGCAGTGGTGTATTCCCAGCATCTAAATATGTCCTCTGAGAACTTGCTTAGTCTTGGAGGCAGATAGACTGATATAGACCACAGTTGTTCACTTGGACTCAAGAATTGCTTGTATGAGGTTTCTTGTCTGTAAGTCTTCTCCGCCAAAAAGAAAATGACTGTTTTTAATGACGAAAACCCTTAAAGACTTCCTCTTTAACAGCCTACCCACCTGCAGATTTTACACTGCCATGAGTATTTGGGTTTGGGTGTGATGATTAGAGCTAACCATGCTATGAGGACCACTAGATGGGTGTAATCATAACAATATCGAAATGCTTTATCTTGATGTCTTTGAGGGAATAACTATATCACCAGTACAAGGCTAGTTTTATCTTTTGTATTTCATATAGATAAAACACATTTTTGTTTGGACTTGCGGATGGAATTATATGCAGATGAAGTCCAACAATATCATTAGACACAAGAACAAATATTTCAATAAGTTTGGGTTTCTTAAACCTCTTAAAAAGTTGTAGGCATCTTTCCACATAAAGCTGTGGATGTAACAAATGCATTTTAGCTTACCTAGATACAAAGTTTGGCTCTTAGCACATCAGTATTTCCCAGGTAGAAGACATTAATGGTGAATAAAAGAGTAGTAAAAACTAAGTTAACCTGTGGTATATGACACAATATTGCACCTCCTCAGGCAATGTGGAGCGTGGCCGGCATGCCCCCTTAGACAAATCCCAGTGGTAAAAACATTAAACTAATTGTTAAACTGTTGTTTCAGCTGCCACCTTTATGGAACACTGGAAGAGAAAACAGATGCGTCTCAACTACAGGTGGGACCTGACTGGGTTTGAAGAGGAGGAGGTTTGTCCCTTCAGTTCTGGCTCTTTGACTTCCACCATGGCGTTACCCATAGCTCCTTGCCCCAGGCTGATAGACATTGCCTCACAGGGAACAGCTCTTGGGGCAGTTCTGTCATTTAGAAGAAAGGAAATTCTCTGTACATGAACTATTTGAGGTTTTTATAGCAAGGGTATGACTAGTACATCTTGTAGCCATAGAAATGTAATTGTATAGCCAAAAAATCCAACCCTAAAGTGTGTAGCTGGGTCACGCCTAGCAGTGTAGGCATGGAATATACAGCTCAGACCTCACTGCTGGTATGATGTCAGGGTGCTAACAGCTAAGGACCGTATTCAGCTCACACTGCTGTAAATCAGAAATGAATGTTTTGAAGTTGATAAAGTTACAGCACTGTAAAAAAAACAACACACCACTGAAAAATTCCTGTTAACGATGCAGGATCAAGCCCTGACTTGGAAAATACCTAAGAAAATATTTCCAGACGTGTGGGCTTGGGGCAATGGGAAGAACACAGTGCGGAGGTGGTGGATTTTTTTGTGTTGGCTAAACCAAAAATAATAATATTCCTAGCCAGGTTTATACTACATGTACTGAATAGAGTGAAGGGGCGAAAGGCTGAATCTGTAAGAAAAAAGGGTCTTAAAAATCAATGAAGTTTTAGAAGAAAAGGGGGGGAAATCCTTAGCCAGCTGAGAAGCTGTATCCCCCCTTTTTGTCTTTAAAGTTATTACTTTACAAAGAAGGAGACGCTTTCCTGGACTATAAGATAAGCCTTGCCCTGGACTTACTGTGCTTCAGAGGTGGCAGAAGCCCTTCCATTTTCCTGTCATATGTTGCTGGCTGGCTGGCTGCTGGCTCTTTTCTTACTGTTGTTATTATTAAAAGAAGCATGACCACCCTTTTCATATCTCTAGATGTTCTAAATAGATACACAACAAGTATTGCTCACGTGAAACTAAAAACCTCAGCAGCCACTATGCAGCTTGAAAAGCCTGGCACAGTTCTTGTTCCTCTCACCCCCAGAATTTTTGTCTTTGAATTATTTCATCTTAATATGTTTATCTCCTTCATAATATATTTAGGTATGCTTTGCTAGATCATACCTATTTTTCTGGGAGAGCCTATAGGGATTTATTTCCTGGATACTATACTGCTCTCTTATTTTTGGTAACTTGTTGTTAGCATACATGAAAGTAGAAAGGATTAACTGTATCTTTCTGATGTCTGTTCCCTTCATGTCTGAGTTCAGAGCTCTACACTGCTAAACCAGCAGCTGTTAATACAGTATATATTATTCCTTGTTTTGTGTAGTCAATGCTACATAACACAGTTATTGATTTAGCAATTAATTCAAGCCCTTCCTATGCTGATTTGGGTGACACTTTAACTAGTAACATGTTGAAGAATCAGGGTTTCAAAGGATAGACAAAATCCCAAAGTGTCTCATCATCTGGTGTTTTCAGGGACACCTGGTTCATACTTTTACAAGGGCCTGTAAGGACAGGACAAGGGGGAATGGCTTTAACCTGACAGAGGGGAGATTGAGATGAGATCTTAGGCAGAAGTTGTTCCTTGTGAGGGTGCTGAGGTGCTGGCACAGGTTGCCCAGAGAAGCTGTGGCTGCCCCATCCCTGGCAGTGTTCAAGGCCAGGTTGGACACAGGGGCTTGGAGCAACCTGGTCTAGTGGAAGGTGTCCCTGCCAGTGGTAGGGGGTTGGAACTGGATGAGCTTTAGGGTCCCTTCCAACCCAAACAAGTCTGGGATTCTATACAATACTTACAGTAATGTTACTAAATGCTGGAGAATATGAGTAAACTGGTATTTGCTGGTAGTTTCTAATCATCCACTGTACCTATGCTTGTTTCATGTGATTTTTAAAATATAAGTCCAATATGATCTGCAACATTCTGTAATCAAACTTTTGTTTCTTGTTTTTTTTTTTTTTTCCTTTGTTTTTCGCGTTTTTTTCTGGTTTCCTGAAGGAGGCAGTCAAGGTTTGGAAAATTTTGTTTTTAATTGCTCTTGTCTTTTTTATTACATGTCCACTGATGAATGCCACCTTTTGATCTTCATCTCTTCTTTTTCAAGCATCAGATTTTCTTTAGATCTTCCACTGATTTCTTTGCCTTTACACCCTCCCCTTCTCCACTTGTTCAGACTTTTTTCAATTCCATTCTGTTTCCCATCCGATGCATACTTGTGAATTCTGAATCTTTTGTGAATGCATAATTATCCTGAATTCTGAATCTGTGAATCTTTCTGAATCTTTTGGCTGTCTCTTACTTCTGAGTGCTTCCTACACCTGCTTCTTCAATGCCCCTGGGTAATATGTTGGTGCTGTCCCAGGCAGGATTAGGGGAGACCCCAATGGACAATTTTCTGGGATCCCAAAGCCATGTATTTATATACTTACAGCAGATAACTGTTTCCCTCACTGAGGATCACTGAAATTACAGTTAATGACATGCAAAACCTAATTTTTATCAAAAAGAGAATTAAAAGTTCTATCATTAAGTCACTCGGTATGAACCATGCTATCTTCAGGTTGTGCTCTATACTCTCAGGTATTTAATTTAATCTCCGTAGCATTGCAACTGGGTGTATGATAGTGAGTCCAGATCATTCTGTAGTTGCTGCTCCAGAGCTGTGAATGGCATACCGAGTGAACTGGAATTCAGTTAGAAAACTTGGAAATGACCAGGAAAATGACCTGCCAAACAGGTCATACATACGTGCTATAGAAAGTCAAGAATTTTTGCTTTTTATTAAATATGACTTATTTCACAGGATCACCCAAGAGCGGAGTATGAAGCTAAAGTTTTAGAAAAATCACTGAGAAAAGAACACAAACAGAAAGAGGTATGGTAAAAACATTCATTTGTTTCACTTAGAAAAGACTGAAAAAGAAGGTCCTTATAGCAGGCACTGACCCAAGACTAAGAAATAGATAAAAACCATCGTCACTGCACACTGTGTTTAAGTTCCAGATGCCTTTGGTCGCAGCATACATGGGATACTTGATGTAAAAGACCCGATTAAGTCTAGAAATGGCTTTAATAATTATTAAAGATACAGGATTGTGGCTTAGGGAAGCTAATTGAGCCCGACTGAAAGGGTACTCCTATTAGGCTAATGAATCAAGTTTGAGAAACCTGTAACAAAACATTTCATTCTATGCTGGTCTCAGTAGCTAAAGCCTCTGACAGGAGTTTCTCTGTCTTGCTAGATTTTGGTTGTAAATGAAAACATTACTAGAGCATTCAGGAAGAGTACTAACACCAATTTCCTTGCCGAATTCCAGTTTCGATAATAGCAACTTTCTGCCTTTTACATCGCTTCCACTTTATCCCACTGAATAAGGTAGCACTCACTTTATGCTTTTAACTTTTCTTTACTGTGAAAAAGGTGCTGCTGGTCACCTCAGGGGCACCTGCATCTTGCCAACAGACAGCATAGTCCCTATGAGCAGCTTTCATTGAGGCTGTAATTCCTTCCCTATTACTGTCTGTCAGCAGCTGACCCACGTGGAAAAGCTCCTTTTCTCCCCACATCCTGGTTTCCACCCTACCAGAGGTTATTCCCCTTTCACTGCACTAATTCAGCCGTTCGTATGACCATGTTTTGAAGCAGAGAAATAAAAGCTCCAGCGGTAAAGAAAACCTCCTGGCAGAAATCACTCTTTTGAATCTGTTGGCAGTGGCATAGCAGCATGAAATCATGCCCTAAACTGGGATTTTTATGAAAAACCTATGAAAATACGACAGCAATAACCACATAAACATGAAGCATGCCTTGAAAGACAGCATATATAGATTGGACTGGTGTTAAACTAAATGTGCCTGATTTTTTGTCGTGGTACTTGAGTACCGTTGTGCCTCTCTTAAGAGATGCTGCAAAGCTGATGGTGGAATGTTCCCGTTAATCTATAGGATGCCTTATTCGCACCACTGCTTTAAAATCCCTTACAGAACAGAAGGAATTTGGTTTGCTGTCCTCTTATCTGCTGGCTCAGCCATGTTTAGATACAGATATCTCCACTAAAAGTCTGTGACTCCCTATACTTTTAGGTATATTAAGAATTCAGAATTTAGATGTGGAAGGCTGCAGAATAACCAGACAAACGGTGGCCTCCACATACTGGAGTACGGAAGCTCAGCAATTAAGAGAGGATTTTCTCCTTTTTTTTTTTTTTTTCCTTTAACCAGACTTATTTATAGCTTTTTGAGCTGTGTTCAATGTGGATGTTACTAATTTGGGAAACATGAGAAAAGGATTTTTTTTTCTGAAAGGCTTGGTAATTATCTTGCATTGGGATCTAGAGTGTTAAAGTTCAAAGTCAACAGTTGTAAGACAACTTGAAAATCTTACAGAAAAATATCTAAAGCTAAACAAGAAACTGCTTACTTGTTTTGAGAGAAGTCCAATTAAAGAACAAAAAAATAAAGGAAAAACTCTTTGGCCATTCTTTATACATCATCAGGGAAAAAGAAGGATACAATCCTAAATTAAAAAGGGAATATCCTTTGCAGGATCGCTTGGTCTACCCTAGGAGTCAGGGCACGAGTTTCTCTTTTGTTGTTACGTTTTATTAACTGAAAGCTGAAATACAAAGCCTTAAACAAACTAATACAGCATTCACTTGTGGCTAAACTGCTATGTAAGCTGAGTCAGTAGAGACTATGGAGATCAATTTAGCAGTGCTTTGTAATGCTATATTGCCCAACCATGTTTTTGTTTCCTTTGACTGCCATCAGAAGCACCGATACTTTCCAGAAGAGACAGCAAACAAATGGAGACAAAGAGTTAAGACAGTCATGGCTGGGGTGAAATTGGTTCTTTTTATTCAAACTTATGAAGAAACTCAAATTATGAGTAATTATGGAAGGCACAAATCAATTTGTTTTTGGCTGTTAAACCTTTGTTTAATATTCACATTCAGTTCTGGGTTTCTTCCCCTCCCTCCTGTTGTTTCTTCAGCACTCTTTGGGACACTATTTCTATGCATTGGGAATGGCACTGCATGGCTAATCTTAGATTTACACCCTGGACTGACGTTATGTTTTGCAGTGGAGCATGGGCTGCATGTTGAAAGTGTTGCTTGCACTTTCCTGAGGCAATGTGCATGTAATAAAAGTAGGATTGGAGTCATATTTTGATGTTCATTGTAATATGTGTATCAGCTTCGTGATGTTCGTTTTGCTGCTTATTTTCTGGTGTTTAGAAACAATTCCTGGCATCAAAGTTTATGAAAGATTCTAGATGACTGGTACTGTTGTAAATGACATTTTCATAGCCAAATCAGGCAGTGGCTAGTTGACCAGATTTAGGGTATCCTATAAAGAGTTATCATACACGTTCATCTTAACTCTATTGGCATGGTCCATTGAATCCCACGTGGAAAGTCAGTTAGTTAAAAATCACTCTTCTTGAGGGAATTACCTCACACCAAAACAAGATCTTCCCTGCCAACTGTTTGTTCATCTTGGAGTTATTCAGTAGCAGTTAGTTTTTGCTCAGAGAAGCTGTGCCTGCCCCGTCCCTGGCAGTGTTCAAGGCCAGACTGGATGGAGCTTGGAGCAACGTGGTCTAGTGGAAGTTGTCCCTGCCCATGGCAGGGGATTGGAACTGGATGAGCTTTAAGGTCCCTTCCAACCAAACCAGTCTGGGATTCTGTGACTTCATGTTTCAGTGGAACCACTTGTGCAACTGCAAAGCTGCAAATATTAACTCGGGAAGGAGAGAGGAAGAAGGGAGAATTTTCTAGGGAAAGGAAAAGAAAATATTTAACAGTAAGAGAGACCTTACTTCATGGATTCTGACAGCCTATTTGCATGTTTCCTTCAAAAAGTATACAGAAAAATCTGATTTATTTATACTCCTAGGGCAGGCTCTTGACCAATTTGAACCTAGATACAGGATAAACAATTTGCCTGTGTGGAACTGTAACTGTAAACACTGTGTCTGCATCTTCTAACTGGTTATGTATTTACCAGCCTGTTCTTCCCCCTCTCTGTTTTTGTCATGTGTGCAAAATCACACATTCTAGCCTTATTAAATGTACCCTTTTTCCCCCCAATTTTAGGCAGATAAAGAAAAACTGACATGGAAGGATCGTTTTCCAGCCTATTTAACCAATTTTGTTGGCATTATCTTCATGGTAAGCATCACCCAGTAAAACCTGTAAGCTTTGTTACTGACTCATTGTATAGAACAGAAGAGATGGAAACTGTGAGAGACTTTATCAAACTGATGTGGTTCTCAATGGCTTTTCCTCAGACAAAAAATTCAACCATTTTATTGGTTTATAATCTAAAATATTTTCAAGAGATTGAATTTATACTTTTATCTCTTTCCAGTAAAGAAATAAGAATGCTAAAAAAGGGTAGGGGAAAAATGTCTCCAGGGAGACATTTATAGCAGTTTTCCAGTAGCTAAAAGGGGTCTACAGGGAAACTGGAGAGGGGCTTTTGAAAAGGGCCTTTAGGGACAGAACAAGGGGGAATGGCTTTAACCTGACAGAGGGGAGATTGAGATGAGAACTTAGGCAGAAGTTCTTCCCTGTGAGGGTGCTGAGGCGCTGGCGCAGGTTGCCCAGAGAAGCTGTGGCTGCCCCATCCCTGGCAGTGTTCAAGGCCAGGTTGGACACAGGGGCTTGGAGCAACGTGGTCTAGTGGAAGGTGTCCCTGCCCATGGCAGGTGGTTGAAACTGGATGAGCTTTAAGGTCCCTTCCAACCTAAACCAGTCTGGGATTCTATAATTCTATGAAAAATGAGGGCACAGAAGCAAAAATTGATGTGGCCAATTGCAGTCCTGACTGCAAGGATTTTTAATGAATCAGTCAAATTTATGGTTATACCATATGACAGCAGAAATGCAAAGAGAACACTGAATTCAAGAAAAAGGTGTAATAATGATAAGAAGAGCCTTCCTCCATTTGCTAATAAAACATTAGCATTTAAAACAAATTTTGAAGAAATAATTCAAGACGTGGAACACATTGGCAGATGCATAAGAAAGCTTAAGCCCTTTCTAAAGGCAGAATATTCCAGACTAACTCAGTTAATTTAAATTTTTTGGAGGTAGGGATTCTGTCTCAGAATATTTTGTAATTTTGTTTTCAGAGAATGGAACTGCAGTAAATCTGATATTCACAGCTGAAGAATTTGGACCTTATAAAAATCACATTTTAAAATTATGCATCTGTTTAAGCAAAGAAAAGTTGAGTAAGATTTTGTACGCCTTTATATTGCCAAGAAGTGTGTTGATTTATCAGGTTGAATTTCAGTTTTGGATTATGACAGCATAGTGAGACTAAGTAGGGTATTTGCAGGCTAATGTGCAGACTTAATATGAACTACTCCTCTCTGCTTCAACCCTGGCTTGATTTTATAATGAAGCAAAACTAATGGATCTATGCTGTTGCTGTTAGGGCTGAAAGGAAGCCCACTAATACTTTCAATATCAGCAAGCATAGGTTAACCAAGGAAGCTGTGGCTGCCCCATCCCTGGCAGTGTTCAAGGCCAGGTTGGATGGAGCTTGGAGCAACATGGTCTAGTAGAAAGTGTCCCTCCCCATGGCAGGGGTTTGGAACTAGATGAGTTCCAAACCAAACCAGTATGAGATTCTGTGGTTCAAAGTAGTTTACCTTTAGAGGCTTTTTAGGGGGAAAAAAAAAAAAGAAAGCGCCTTTTGCTCTTCATGTGATTATGGCATCCTTGTATCATTTTTTCCATGTGATGATCAAATTACTAGGAAAAGAGGATATTTCCCACAGTTCATCAAAGTGATTGGGAGCCCTCATGCAGAACTGAGGGACTTGGCCCAGAGACCCCATTTTTAAGGTCACCACTAAGTCCCAAGCAAAGTATTTATAGTTAAATCTTTCATAAGAGGCTGTGCTGTTCTTGCTTGTAGGTAGGCCTGACGTTTGCTATCGTGTTTGGAGTCATCATATACAGGATCTCGACTGCAGCGGCGCTGGCGATCAGTTCAACTCCCTCGGGCCGCTCAAGCGTTCGGGTCACTGTCACTGCCACCGCTGTCATTATCAACTTAGTTGTCATCATCATCCTGGATGAAGTCTATGGCTGCATCGCGAGGTGGCTTACTCAAATTGGTAGGTTTAAATCCTCAAGTAATGTATGCTAGAGCAAAAGGACCCAAATGATTCACCTCAAAGTGGCGAGCAAACCCAGGAAATTCAAATATGGGGCTAAAATTCTAACCAGCTACTTACAAATAGAAAAACCCACATGGATTTGGCTTTATTTGTCAAGGTTTTCTTTCAGCAGTGGTAATGCTAATCCAGCTATGGGTGACAGCAGAAATTCCAATATCTAATCAAGACCTTCCTTCTTCTCTATCACACGATTAGTCTTTAAATTTTCTGCTATTTTTAATTGGCCTAAAACATGTTGCGAAAGGCAAAATTGTACCAAAAAAAAAAAAAAAAGTGGGTGCAAAAAAACCCCACACTGTAGAAAAGAAAATTCTGAATAATTTCCAACAAGCATCAGTGACAAAAGGGCCAGAAATCTTTTCAGAGAAGTTCTTGTCTATCTGCAAATGATTGTCATGGAGGTCAGCCAGAGGTGGAATGAAACTGGAATTACTGTTGTAACACATCTGAACGGTGAGATCCTTAGCAGGCAGGGGGTTGGAACTGGATGATCTTAATGTCCTTTCTAACCCAATCATTCTGTGATTCTATGATTGACTGCTCAGTGTGTCCATATTGCGTGTTGCTATATATATTGCTACAAATTATTTAGTGTGACCAGCTGGTCGAAGGAGGTGATCCTGCCCCTCTGCTCTCTGCTCTGCTCTCCTGAGACCCCATTTGCAGCACTGTGTACAGTTCTGGTGTCCTCAGCATCAGAAGGACATGGAGAAGAGAAGCTGTGTGAAGACCTTATAGCAGCCTTCCAGTATCTGAAGGGGGCCTACAAGGATGCTGGAGAGGGACTCTTCATCAGGGACTGTAGTGATAGGACAAGGGGTAATGGGTTTAAACTTAAACAGGGGAAGTTCAGGTTAAATACAAGGAATCAGTTCTTCCCTGTGAGGGTGCCGAGGTGCTGGCACAGGTTGCCCAAAGAAGA